GGCTGATCACAGACAGGTCCGTTGTCAAAGGGAGAGAGAGGAGCGAGTAGTGGACACTTTGCTAACCTTCACCGACACCAAAAGAAAGTCGTCGCGCTGACGTTCCAAATGCAAATATAGGCTTAGTTCTCAAGGGAACACTCAGAATGTTGCGGTTTGTTGGAAAACGGCGCACATTGGTCTGACTTTCTACGACTACAGCAGCTGAGCTCAGCCGGGGCTCGTCAGTATCTCCACGCCCACGTGGCGTCCTCCACCCTGGCAGCTCCTTCAAAGGAGAGAGTCCAGCCCCTATCCCTGTTAGAGTTGTTGGAGCATTTTCTAAGCAGCTTTTTCTTCTGGGTTCCAGATCTTCTTAGAATATTAAGACAGAATGAAAAGTGTTGAACTTGTTTTGTGGAGAGCAAAGATTGTGGAGTAGCTGATCAGAAGGAACAGAGCAGAGAAATCTGCAGATGATGATGTTGTGCTGTTGTTTGGAAACATGTTGAAAGTGTTCAGACGTGGAGAACAAGTGTGACAGAGTATTAAATGGAAATGTGCTGGTGAACTTGCTGCAGTCTGTGCTGGTAGAAAGATGTGTTCTGTTGTTAATGATGAACTGATGTTGGAGTTGTGCTGAGTCCACCTTGAATCACTGAATTGTTGTTTCATGACATGTTTTCTTTTGTGTCTGCTGTCTTTATCTATATTCATTCTATTATCTCTCCAGACTCTGTCAGGCTGCTGGACGGGACTATGTGCTCAGGCAGACGGAGATGAAGTCTAACCAGAGGTGGTCCTCAGTGTGTGAAGCTGGCTTTGACCAGCAGGATGCAGAGGTGGTCTGTAGGGAGCTTGGCTGTGGGGCTCCTTCAGTCCTCCAGGGGGCGCTCTATGGAGAAGTGGAGGCTCCGATGTGGACCAAAGAGTTCCAGTGTGGAGGCCATGAGTCTGCTCTCCTGGACTGTAGAAGCTCAGGCTCAGCTAGAAACACCTGCTCACCTGGAAAAGCTGTTGGACTCACCTGCTCAGGTAGAAGAGGAGCTGCAGCTTTGATTTGCTTCATTCTCTTCTGATGAAACTCACTTTATTGTTTTACTGATGACTCTCTGGTTTCTGTTCAGAGCCTGATGATGTCAGGTTGGCCAGAGAAGCCAGTCGCTGTGCAGGAACACTGGAGGTGAAACATGAGGGAGACTGGAGACCAGGGAGTGTCTCTGTCTGGACCCTGAAGACAGCAGCTGGTGTCTGTAGAGAGCTGGACTGTGGCTCTGCTGTTTCTGTAGGACAGAGAAAGGAGTCCTCAGACAGACCTGTGTGGTGGATCAGCTCTGACTGTGTTCAGTCTGGATCTGCTCTGAGGGAGTGTGTATCATCAACTTCCTCTTCCTTCATCCTGATTGTTACCTGCTCAGGTAAGCCCATCAGTGACACCATCTATGACAGGGGTCTCAAACTCCAGGCCAGCAGGCCACATACGGTACTCTGTACCCCTCGGTCTGTCCCGCGTGGTGATTGGGGGAAAAAAAAATCTGGCCAGCCAAATTATTATTTTAAATTATATTTATAGTTGTTTCATGTCAAATCAGCTACCAATTTGTTTGTCATGGCAAAGGTGAAAGGTAAGGTGGCCTCAAATACCCACTATTGGCTGAAGAAGAAAGAATTTGCTGTTCAAATTGAAACGTAAGGTGGATGATAAGCAAAGGTTGTTTCAAGAAAGATGGACAAAGCAGTAGCTTAGGATATTTTTTGGGAGTTTAACAGTAAAAATTACCTGCCTGATATGCAACGAAAAAGTTACCATTTTAAAGAAATATAATATCAAATGTCATTTATGGACTAAACACGGAGAGCAACAAGAAGTACCAGGGAGATGAAAGGACAACAGCCACGCAGCTACAGAGAGGATTTATATCTCTGCCAAATCTTTTTCATAAAGCCAAGAAGAGTGCTGAAACTGCATTACTCACTTGTAGTGTAACATCCATCCATCCATCCATCGTCAACCACTTATCCTGTGTACAGGGTCACAGGGGGCTGGAGCCAATCCCAGCTGACATCGGGTGAAAGGCGGGGTACACCCTGGACAGGTTGCCAGTCCATCGCATCGTTGTCTGTTGCAAATGGTACTTATTGACTTGCAGTGTAACAATGAACTAAAAACCACATTCAGGGAGGCACAGGAAAAAGCAGATCATATTGGACAATTTCTGAGACTTACTGTATCTCCATCCTTCCCAGAACTGTCCAAAGTGTAAGATTGTTTTCTCAACTATGAACTGAAAAGTACAGGTCCAGACTTACTAACTGATGCCCATATTGAAGCTGTAGCTACTCAGGGTTCCAACTGCAACCTCCGTCAAGGCAACGTATGTTTTGTACTTTTTGAATTCAGTACAATTATCAGACAGCTTTAATTCACAATGTATTTCAGAAAAACACATGAAAATGTTCAAAATATTTTGGTTATGGTAATAAAATAAGTACATTTTGAGAATATTGCTCTTTCTTGGAGTACTGCTGCTGTGGCCCTCCTATGAGAACACAGTACCAAAGTGGCCCCTGGATGATTTGAGTTTGAGACCCCTGATCTATGATATAATGTATGACAGTAAAGTTTCCAGTGTATTCTCTCCTCTGCCTCAGTGTCAGCCAGTGGTTTCCATTGGACTAAACTGTGAAGTTCTCCAGGACAATGACGTCCTAAAGTGGGATTGTTTATATCTTTTCTTTCATCTCATATCTTACGTGGCAGTGCCCATGTTGGCTGCGGCTGCATCGGCTCACAATTAAAACACCAATAGAGAATAGGTTAGGATGTAGTATAGCGAGGAGTCACAGTTATACAATCATCAAAGCAGGTTGTTACTGAACATGGACATTAGCACAGTGGAATTATTATATATTTGACCTTATATTATTGGACCTCGGCTTGCTGCATTCACCAGGAAAGGCCTACACCAACTGGGCATGAGGAGCAGGAGTTCGCCGGACCACCGACAGGGCTGGTGTCGATCGGTCCTCCGACAGAGGACGGCGGGCACGGGAGTCTGCCCGACCACTGATGGGGCACGAGGAGAAGGGGTCGGCCGGGCCACCAATGGGGCTGGTGTTGGTCAGTCTTCCGACAGGACACGAGGAGCAGGGATCGGCTGGACCATCAACGGAGTTGATGTCGGTCGGTCGGTCCTCCGACTGAGGACCAGTTTGGACAGTGACCACCCCAGTGAGATCAGGTACTAAGGTCTCTCGGGAGTTTGATATCTGCAGTGTAATTGGGCTGGGTCATGGGAGACTTTACACCAAGGGCAGGTGGCGGGTGTTGATGTTTGTGGGAACCATGATGGCCACGTCTCCTCCTATGACCACCACGGAACCCAGAGAAGATGGCCAGGCGAGTCCACTCAAACAGATGGTGGTGGT